GTGCATATATCCCTTATATCCCTTCACAGAACTAAAGTATGCTTTTAAAAAAGGTTTAATGAGATGATGGAATCAAAGCTGAACTATATAAAAAGGCACACATGCTGAGAACCCAACCCCAGCAGGGCGGTCTGGGGGGATTTTCCCCCAGGAGATTTTTAGAAATACTAACATATAAACTACACATTCTGGTACACTCTGAGAAGAAAATAAATAAATCTATTACTACCCGACATATTAATAATATTTTATGCCATTGTTTGTTTTTCACTTTGTTCTGACATCTTGCTGCGAGAAGAGTAAAGAGGTCTGTGTGACTTACTTTAAATTGTGGGTAAGGGTAGATAGCCCCCATTGTTCTGTGACCTGTCAATCATCAAACCGGGGGTCATATTTCATTATGTGTTCATTTTTATCTGAAGTTGTACCCATGGATGAATAAAGAAGAGTTCTACCGCTAAGTTATTCTCCGTTGGGACTTCCGGCTACAATCTTGATTCTGATTGGCCAGAAGACTCGAAAAAACATCAGCAAAGATGTTTTATTGAGAAGATGATCACTACGTGACAGAAGTTTTCAAAACCGTTTATGGTCTCCAGTACTTCCAGTCCAACGCCGACTGCATGCGAAAATCGGGCCTTCAAAAGTAAAAGTTTTACTTTCCCCCCACTCGATCGAAACGGGTCCTAAACCTCGAGCTGCAGAAAGAGTTCTTCAGGATTGATTTGGCATCCGCTGTGTCAACTCGTGACACACCACCTGTCTTTTCAATTCTCCGGCCGAAGCTCCAAATGAACCAGCAGTGTTTGCCATCGAAGTTTCTACTCTCCTCGTGTCTCTCTTGCGGCTTTCACACCATCTTCTTCTTCTTCTTCTTCTCCTCCTCTTCCTCTTCTTCTTCTTCATCTTCTTCTTCTTCTTCTATTTTTAAGAAAACATGCAAGAATCAACGACCCTAACCCTGACCCTTGAAGGCAACACAAACAAGGGTCATCCGTCTCTTTTAGCTCTGTTTTTGGTCTCCACCACCAACAAAGATCAGTCTCTGAAGGCGTTTCACAGCCTTCTCTACGAAAGAAAGATTCCCACCAAGTTAAAGCCATAATAGAACAGTTATAATAATAAAAACATTGATTGGAGAGAAGTTTTGTCATGTTAAGATCTTCAAATACAAATCCCTGGAGACTTCCTTCTCTGCTTTAACTTTACTCACATTCTTAAGTCGAGGCATGAATACGTTGCACTCGTAAATCTACGAAAGTGGCGGAGAGTAAAGTCAAATCGAAAGAGCAAGAATTACAATCATTTGGGTAACTTTACCCACATTTATACATGCCTACTCAAAGTCGAGCCATTTGTTCCTGAATCTACAAACATCAAAAGTACCTTTTTGCAATTGCAGTTCAGAACTTGTGAGATAAGTGGCGGAGAGTAAAGTCAAATCGAAAGAGCAAGAATTACAATTATCTGTGTGCGACACCCTAAGCATTCAAAACTGTAGTGTTTTTTAATACTTTGATAGCCAATAATAAATGAAGCGATTTGTGCACTGACAGACAAAAATGTATTACCGAAATAATGAATACATGGGAAAAACCTAGAACGTTTTCAAACAAGGTTACCTGATTACTAAGCGTTTTTTATTGCACATCTCTGAAGCGTTGTGTCTGAGGTCGAACAGGAAAAGATGACCCAGAAAAGATGCAGCGGTTTTCGGTGCAGAATGTTGTGAAAGTGGGTCGAGGGTTCGGGCCTCGTCATGTGCGGTTTAGAGAGGAGGATCAAAGGGGGAACAGAAGCCGAAGAGGAAGGTGACATCATGACAGGAAGTACTGCAGACAAGGATAAATACGGGCCGAACACCAGCGAAGAAGAAAAACACCTGTACCTTCAGTGAGAAAGCCAGAAAGCATCAGGTGCAGAAGATCAAACATTCACATCTGAATATCGACGGAGAAGAGACCAAACGTCAGGATGGCTTCAGCTAATAACTCCTCCAAAGTCACGGTAAGAGCATCTTCATTTGAACTTCGTGTTTGGATTTAAAAGTTTGATTTGATTTGATTTATTTCGAACGTGTAAAACAATAATACAAAAGACAATAATTATAATTAAATGAAACAAGAGAATTATGATACTGTACAAACTTCAGCAGTGTCCAATTGATAAACTAAATATTATTGACTTACAAATTATATTTAAACGTCTTAATATAAGTGTTAAAAAGCAAATAAAAAAGTAGATTATTTTACGTGTTAAAGGACCAATAATCCATAAAATGAATGATAAAATGTATAACGTTTTTAAATCATTGTGATTTCCATAGAAGCAGATTTCAATTGAAATTCAGTAATCTGCATCGCGACTGTTTTTGCTGGTTGTTAAACTAAAAATGTTTTTAATGATCATTTTTAATTCAATGTATTTGTGTGTATTTTAGGGGCATGTTCTTCACATATGATACATGATATTATGCATTATTGTCTGGATTCAAAATGTCATTTAAAGTCATCTTTTTGTACCTCTGCCACATTTCACTGACTCTCTTTACTGCGTCATATAATTTAGAAACAGAAACACAGATCATTTAATAAACATTGCAAAGAAAAACAACAAAAAATGTGTTAAAAGTTACATTTTTCCTCCTCTTTCTCAGCTTTTCTGTGTGGTGGCGATGATGATGATGATGAAGATGATGATGGTGGAGGCAGCAGCAATGCCCAAAGTAGGCGGCCAATCAAAACACCCGAAGACCCACACCGAGGCCTCTGATGGTGCGGAGGCGGAAATGATCCCGCTGCAAATCGACAACAAGTTCTTGAATCATTACAGAAGTGTTCGGCCGCTGCAGAACGCCTCCGTCTCCCCGTGGACCTACAAGTAAGGAAACACACATGTCGTATTTCTGTGTCGGTCCCTGAAGGCAGCATCTCCCTCGTCCAATGGGATTCCTCCATGTGATTTTGAATTATGTCAGAAAATAATCTCTGTGTCTGGGAAGTAAAAAGCTAACGTTTGGATACAAAGCAGGGGTGTCCAAACTACGGCCTGTTGTCCATTTCTAATTCTTAAAGTATAATGGTGTATGGCCCCTACCTGAAACTCGTGCTTGTCTTATATTGTACTTCTTAAATATATATTTGAGCCTATATTACACAGTAGTATCACTATTCAAAGACATTCAGTCAATTAGAGCTGAGACCATGTTCTAACTAATCTTAGTTTTATTTCCATAACAAGCTTTAAATAGACCCTTCAAATGGACCCTTATTATAATCAATCTGAGGCTTCTGATTTAAGGGATGAGCTGCAACAGGATAACTGAAACCCTCTTGGATGTTTCTTAAATCATATTGAAGTAGAAAGCATCATTGACCTACATTTGATTGATTTTTCTGAATTATAACTCAACCTATGATGCAGTAAAGTGAGTGTATGTGTTTCTGTATGTGGCCCTCAGTGGAAAAGGTTTGGACCCTCCTGCTGTAAAGAAACTAGCACGGTCACATGACTCCACGTTCTCGTTCAAGTCTCCTTTTCAAGATAATCAATATATATTTGAATGCTGTTTATACTGATGTTGTCCCTCCTCTCTCTCCGTCCACAGCATAACTAACGATGCCACCCTCGTGCCTCCCTTCCTGTCCGAGGCTCGCTGTCTTCTGCGCGGCTGCCTGGATTTGGACGGTGTCGAGGACTTGAACCTGGAATCCCGACCCATAATGCACCAGGTGATGATGCTGCGGCGCGTCAAATCCAAGGGGGCAGAGACTGGGTACCACTACAGGCTGGAGTCCCGCCTCCTCGCCGTGGGATGCACCTGCGTCCGGCCCACCGTCCAGTACCAGGACTGAATCAGAATGGAAAACCAGCAAAAAACATCTCTATTTATCTGACTTTAAATTGGTTTAAATTATGGTTTTGTATTATTTATGTTGTATAGGTAGAACTTATATCTACAGCTCGAGTCATATATTAGCTTTACAGAACATTAGCCACCTTTAGCTTAGCGGCGGTGACCGTGCTGTAGTTCCTTTATAATTAACGTATTTTATGATGTATTTATTTAACTCCCAAGATAGTAATTTTTTAGACGTAGATCTGAGAGTCGTCTGCATAGAGGGTCAAACCTGGATTCAACTGCTGCAGAATAATAGAAAAACGAAAGGACATAAAGGTTCAAATAAAAGTCCATAACAGTCATAGTAATGATAGTAAATCACAAATATTACTTATTTTGATTTAGAAGTTGGAATCCAAATACGCGTAATTAAACCAAATTTCATACAGAAAATATGACTTTCTGATTGAGTTGAGATAAGGACTTGCTGTATATTTAAAATAAGTAGTGAGTATCTCAGAATTTCTAGCACCAATTACCAGATAAAACATAATTTCCCTGATTTAAATGTGTATTTGTTCTTCAATAATCTGCTTATTTCCCATATGTATTTATATTCTAACTACAGTCCGGAGCTGGAGTTTAAAAGCTCTCAGATGATCATTGGATGTTTTTCGTATATGATGTTTATTTATCGGTGTAGTTTATTTAAAATGAATATTTAACTGAGGTATTTATTGGAGGTTTTGTATTACTGTTAATGTATTTATTTGACTCAATAAAAACAAAGGATGAACAAAGTAGTAAAGCGTCATTGATTTATTATTCAATTTAAAATATAATGTGATTTCTGTACAATATTTATCATCTTCGTCATTAGTATCATCATCATCACTCCTTAACACAGCCAGTGAAACACACACACACACACACACACACACACACACACACACACACACACACACACACACACACACACACACACACACACACACGAGCTGTAAACACTTGACATAATATACTTTCACCAGTAGCTGAAATGTAGCTTCAAATGGTAGCATTAGTGCTAGAATGCTAATGTTTGTATAATGTCTTGATATTCAGAAATATAATATAACTACAAACTTGAAAATAAAACAAACCTTGGGAGGTGTGAAAGGAGATCGATACTCAGGTCTAATCGTGTTTTCTTTTGTGGTGACTTACTTATTGATCGTCTAGGACTAATCACAGCCTCTCCAGATCTCCTACAAAATCACGTTCCCATTACGCTCACATTTTGATAACCTTTACACGGGTAAGAGTTGTGTTTGGTTTGACCCACACACTCACCTTATAGGGAGTTTGGTTAAAAGCATACTTGTGATACTAAATACCATCTAAACATAATTGACAGCACTGCTTTGTTGAATAAGAACGTAATTTGTAGGAGACCAGGTTTCTCCGTGAGACTCTTATTGGTATAATCTATATTTGAACTGTTTCTGTACCGTCGACATTTTGACCAGGACATGTCTGGCTCTTGTAAGCGTTTTAACTCCTTTGGCTTTCTTGGGGTGTTTTTAACCAAACTCATCAGCCTCTAAAGATCTCTGTGACTCAGACTGGTCTCAATTGCCCAAATGTATCTGAGTTTGATGGTCTTGTTTGTGGGTTTTTTGCCTCATCCTTATCTCGCCATTGTTTTTACAAGGACACTTAGTATCAGACACACAACTATCTTTGGTCTAATCGAAGTCCAGTATTGGTATTGGATTTGTCGGACCTGTGTTTGAACACCGTCTTGACTCACTTTAATTCCCTTAGATATCACTTAAGAGCCCAGTATAACTCTCTTTATTATGGTTCTGTTTCACAATAACTGTAATTATCTAGACTTGGCAGCAGGTGGAGCTGTTTCACTCAGAGGTGTTGTACATCCAGATATCAGATTCCACCATATCCAATCTTCTCTGCTCTTTTCTGGACTCACTTCTTGTTTCGGTGTCTTTTCCTTTGGGTCACGGTCCAATTTAAGTTTCAGGTGTGGTCAAACTTTCCAGAATATTCCTTGATACGTACACAATCACACATGAACACATTGGCACTGTCGGTGCAGTAAAGCCTCCGTGAGCCGTCTGATGATGAAGATGCAGCGTCCTTGAGAAGTGATTATCTCGTTATTAAAGAGTCTATCTCGTTAAGAAGAGTCCTGGTTGTTCAGAGGAGGTCCAACCTTCAGTCCTCCTCCTCTTGTTTCTTCTTCTCTGACTCTGTTTATGTGAGTCTCTTCCTGTCAGACTCCAGTTGGAGCAGCGCCGGCTCTTCAGTCCTCAGATCATCCGCCCTCGGAAATGGCTTCCAAATTGATTTCAGCTTGTGTTGTGATCAGGCCATCAAGACACCTGCAGCGGAGGAAAGAGGGTGGAGGCGTTAATGGTCATCCAACACTCTCTGGATCAAAACATTGATAAATTGGGCTAAAAGGGATCAAATTGAGATTAGAAATGAAGAAACTTTCAATGTGAATGTTGGCAAAGCCTCTCATTAAGATATAAAATGTGAAACACACGTTACCTAAAACCAACCCTCATCAATGACAATTTGGTACTTTTTGTAATGATAATGCTCACAATCAATACATCACGTCTGCATTGCCAATAGTTTGCAGAGAAAATGTTTTTTATGAAGAGAAAGTCATAATGCTGCAGCAAAAACTAAATTTCAGACTATAGTGAGCTTCCATGGGTGTCAACAGATTTGGAAATACCTGATACTGTTTTTAAGCCTTTTGTTAATTGATCTACAAATCTAAAAAGGTATATTTTAGGAAATTATTTAACCACTTTCTTTACCCTGGTCTAAAAGTCAATGTTTTTTTGAATGTGTTTGTGGGTTAGCCTGAAACAAGCTCAGTGGTTAACAGAAGCTGAAGAGATCATAACGCTGCTAACAATTTTCTAAATGAGAGTAAACGTCAACATTAGCCGCCTTTAGCTTAGCGGTGGTGACTCGTGTAATTTTCTTCTCATTACAACACTGTCTTTATGTTTTGTGTCAGTGCGTCTACCCAGAATCCCCTCTTTCTCCTCCAGCTCCTCACCTCCACACTGTGCTTGTCCTGAAAGACACAAACAGAAACTCCCGTTAGTGATCCATTCATTCATAAAACACCAGACATCTCAATAAGAAAGACTGAAATCTGATGATAACAGCTGCTCTCTCACCTCCTCCTGCAGTCTCTCCTGCGATGCGTTCAGGTGCTCCTGCGATGCGTTCAGGTGCATCTGCCGCTGCTCTTTATAGGCGTCGGCCCGATGCTCCTGGCGCTCTTTGGTCAGAGCTTTCTGAGCGACTTCACGCTCGTGCTCCCTCCTCTCGGCCAGGTGCTTCAGCAACTCCGCCTCGTGACACTAGAGGGCGACAGAGGAAGGGTTAGGTTCTGGTTCTCCAACAGAATCTCATGTTTTTATCAGATCTGACAGAAGAACGGATCATTCAAACACAGTCTAAACATAGAAGAGATTCTTCATGGTCTTATTTTGCTGATTTTAAT